GTTTCCAACTGGCGACTCTGCAGTTAGCAGCACAAGGTGGAACTGCTGTACTACCATGGCTCCCATAAGACTAGATAATACAAGTTCATTTCAGACCAGTAGATATTTCCCCTTAAAGTGTGGTGTTGCTTCTTTGACTATAGTTCTAATCTCAGAGGTAGGTACTTACAATTTTAACAACAAAAATAATAGCTGGGTGCATCACAATCTTTGTGATTTGGTGGCTTGTTCATTGTGTTCTTTTGCCTCTGGGGTAGATCATAATCTTTCATGAATATTTAAGTTTGAGAACCTTTTCTTAAAAGAAAGCACTCCTGAGTGAGTGTGTGTGGGGTGGGGTGGGGGGGAGATGAACTGATAGGAAAGGCAAAAGAAAGATATATTCTTCAGTTTGAACAGTTTCAAAAGACTTTTGTGTCGGATTTCTGAAGCACTTTGAAGCTATTCTACGTAACACAGTTACAGTATGTGGGAGTGGGCGTCAATTCTTCACTGCTAAAGTGAGGGTGACTGCATTTGAATAAAATAAATGTTCGCTAGAATTTCAAAGAGCCGTGCAGTCAAAAGCTGCATGCAGGTACCTTCAAAACACAATCGATGGAAGGTTGAGAGAGAGTTGCAGAGTTTGTGGTAACAGTTTGATGCTGAGAACCAGTTGATCCTAAAGAGCTGTGAATGGTGCCGTAGTTTAGGTGGTGGGCTATTAACCCAAAGGTTAGCAGTTCAAACCCACCAGCTGCTCCAGGGCAGAAAAAATGAGGCAGCCCGCTTCTTTGGGGTTCTAGACCCAGCACAGTGCTCAGGGGCAGTTCTGCTCTGACCTATAGGGCCTCTATGAGTAGCAGTTAATTGGCTGCTCAGTAAAACCGTGAGAGGGTGTTTTGGTTTGTTTTATGTTTGGCTTTAACTACACAATGATTTGATTTTTAAAGCTCCTGCAAATTACAGCAGCAGAAATAGTTCTTTGGCTGATTTTTAAAAGTACTTTTTCTGCCATCTTTAAACTAGGAGTAATTATGATCCAAGTGCCTGTTAAATGTCAAGAGTTCTGGTTCATAGTTCATATTTGCTGCAACTGATGAACAGAGGTTACATTGTTACAAGCACTCAGTCCCTTGCAAGTGTTTTCAGTGCCCTAACTTAGTGCAGCCACATGAAGTCCTTCAATTCTGATCCTTTCCTTTCTTCACTGAAGCCTTCTTCTCTCACCTTCGGCTTCCTCCTCCTTGTAACTGCTGCCTGCCCCTGCAAGTTGCCAGAGCAAACGATGTAGGTTTGAATCACAGTTCTGTTGTAAACAACTGCGTCCATTCAGTGTATTGAACGTGCGGTGACGTCTTTGTAAAATGAGAATGAAGAGTCTGGCGTGAATAAGAAATGAAATGGCTTTGAAACAAAATGCTGTCCAGCATGGAGACAGCCCCATCGCTGAACAGTTGGTGGAGTTCTTACTGGGCCCGTGTGAGCGCAAGAGTCACACACACCAGCGGGAAGAGAAGCTTCCCTTACCATTTTCAACCTGCCGGTGTGTCCTACCTCTGCGCTTCTCTCTGGAGTCCCGGATTTTGGGAAAATTATTCTAGACCCTGTGTGAAAGAAATTGTACCTTCAAATTGTCTTTATCTTTGGGAACGCCTTTCACTGGAATAGAAGACAATGTAAATGTTATAAAGTAGTAAGCACACACTTTCCCGCCTTGCCTGCACTGCTCTCCCCACTGTCCGTGCTCTTCTGAATAGACTGCACCAACTCCGGTTTAGTGTCCATGCCACTTCTCTTCTGACCTGTGATGCTGCTTATTTGCCCTTGAATTCACTTTTTCATTTTTAGCCAGCTTTTTGATGTGTCCCTAATTACTTCCCAATCAAATGGTAATTAGTTTGAAACAGGTTCTGGGGATACGTTGTAAAGTCCAATGGCATGCCTTGTACATAATAGGCAGTCAGTACACACATTAATTGAAGC